CTCTCTCTAGCTTCTCTTGCATACTCTTCCATTAATTCACTCAATTCTTGATTTTCAGCTGTCATTGCTGAAGTTTTATCCCATATTTGAGTCATGACTTCATCAGTTGCAGCAATCATCATTTTGAGGTTATTTATTTCACCTTTAATATGTATATAAAAACATCAGAAAAGAAATTTACACCAGACACCTCCCCCCTTCCTTATGAATAGATAATCTTTCCTAAGATGATGGTTGAAAGTCTGTTCTCGAACTTCCTTGATTGAGTGGCAGTGTTCTCCACTTGATGCATAAAATTGTTTCGTGTTTACAAGGCCAGAATTTTAAGTATTTATACATTCATCAATCATGTATGATACCAATCATGGATCCTTAAATTAAGATTTGAATTTTCTTCTAAACCAAGGCCGTCGGAAGTGGGGGGGGGGGGGGGGGACTGGCTGGGGATTTGTATGTAAGAAAAACACACAAAAAAACCTAGAAAAGTGCAAATGCAATTCAGATTTATTCACATTTATTCTTTGAGCCCCCCCCCAAATATTTATTTACTTTTGACGGCCTTGTAAACACAAAATATTAATATGCATTCTGTTTTATGATGTCTAATGTATAATACTGTAACACATTCCTCTATGGATTCAATACTTACTTTCAGGAGAATCTGCATACAACACACTGGCAAACAAAGATTTTGGTCTAATGTTAACATAAAAGACCCTGTTACATGAGTTAAAGAATACAGTATTTCTAATTTCGCACTAAATTTGGTTGTAAGATTATTTATAGATTATTTTATCAAAGGATACCCTTTCTCCTGTGTGCGTTTTGTTTTCACTGAAGGGAACGCTCGTTTTAATGCTCTTGTTAACATTGTCTTTGAAGTTTCAGAAGTATTCCCCTCACCAACTAGTGACAGTGCTTTTACTTGCTGGATTGTACAACCAGCTTTCTCTTCAAATCTTTCTTTTAGTCTTTCTTCCAAGAACTCTTGCCTTATTTTCACTTCTCTACCAGATGGCTTCTCTCCTAGTATAAACCAAATATGGAAAAAACATTTATACTGTATTTCATTTCTAATGCACGTTTTCTGTAACATATGATAGCCAAAAGGTTGTTGTATGGAGAAATTGACTTAATTCATCAACTCAATATCATTCAAATAATAATGTCTTTTTTATATTTTATTTTTTTGTAACTAATGTATATGTAGGTATTCAATGTACCAATATTGGTATTTGTTTGAATAAAGTTTCTTCTTCTTCTTCAAAGCCCTATCTCACACACCACTGGCAGCTGGTGCAGCATCAGTCACATGCTTGACATTTATCTGTCCACATATACTTTTAATAATGTGCGTATTAATTTAAACAAATACAATGTATCAAATGAAAATGTTTGGTATTTACAGTAATTATAATTTTTTTTATTTTTTTTTTTTCTCTGTGTTGGTGTAGTGTACTCAAGTGAATATGATATTTGTGGTGTTACTCTGAGTCTATATCCACACCGGGCGAGCTTGAAAAATATGCCCGGCCACGGTGGGATTCGAACCTACGACCTTTGGATACTAGCCCAATGCTCTTCCAACTGAGCTACGCGGTCAGGACGGTTCGAGTAAGTGATATTTCGGAACAGAATCTAGTTCCTTCAATACCAATGTATTCTAGTAACATGAATTTTTTCTGTGTGGAATTTTTGATGAATTTGATTTTTTTTCTTTGTTGAATTTTTGATGAATTTGAATTTGAATTTTTGATGAATATGACTTTTTTTCTGTTTCAAGCTCGCCCGGTGTGGATATATACTCAGAGTAACACCACAAATATCATATTCACCTGAGTACACTACACCAACACAGAAAAAATTCATATTACTAGAATACATTGGTATTGAAGGAACTAGATTCTGTTCCGAAATATCACTTACTCGAACCGTCCTGACCGCGTAGGTCAGTTGGAAGAGCATTGGGCTAGTATTCCAAAGGTCGTAGGTTCGAATCCCACCGTGGCCGGGCATATTTTTCAAGCTCGCCCGGTGCGGATATAGACTCAGAGTAACACCACAAATATTATAAATATATTTGCTTACCAATTTGAAATCGCTTTGGATTCGGAAGATTTTTAGACTTTGATACCGGTGTTAACGCGTGTTTTCCCGTAAAATCGAGGCTCCTTCGACTGGATTTCGGCGTCACCGTCTTAGACGCCTCTATCTCACCAGAACCATCTTCTTCAACAACCGAAACATCGTGTACACAACATAAAACTGCCTCAAAATACTCTTCGTCAATTTGCATAGCCTCGCTAGACTCCGCCATGCTGTTTGCGTGTAATTCGATACCATTTTGATGAATATTTTACGTCATGCAAGTTTTCGACTCATATTGACAACTTTTCGAACGCGTTCTGCCAGTCCCTCAAATTTTACCCTTGACCATTCCCATCATGCACCATTATTTTGTCCAATCCTCATTTGAGGGACTGGGTACGAGTCAGGTTCAACACCAAATGATTCTACTCATCAGTGGAAGAGTTACTGCCAGTTATTGGATTAAATCAATTTAAAAATTGTTTTAAAGGTCATTCAAATGTTAACACACTCAAACTTATTTGTTCAAACCTGCAAACTGTTGGAAGAGTTAGACATGCTTTTGCAGGCCATGAGGCATTCAATATCCACCCCACTACCAATCATACAGAAGAAGATCCATTTCCTGATCAACTTAAAGTGATGTGGTTTTGTCTGCACAAGAAGCTTTTTCAACCTAACAAAGACTGTAGCACAGTGCCAGTCATATTGGGCACAGGCGAAGAGAAAGGCAAATTGCCAGGCAGGTTGTTTGATGTGTATGATAAGGGGAAAGAAAAAGTAAAATTGAACTTTGGAAAAAAAATGTTTAACACTAATTTTCATGTGATTTCTAAATCAAACCAGGCATGTGATGAAGATGTGGAAGAAACTCTTAGTGACTGTGATGTACCATAATTATTAGACTGTGTGTACAGCTTATTCAATAAAGGTTGTCCTTTGTAAACCTAATTAAAATTAAACCTTCGACTCCAAGCATGCAAAGCATATCATGATTGTGATTCAATCAGTGATTCAATCAGTTTAGAAAACATATATGGGTTCCATTTCTCAGAGACATGATAAATATCTCCTCACCAATAGCTGTAATATTCAACTATTATAAGATTGAAACTTGTGCTCCATTATGCTCTGCATGCTTAGATTTTAAGGTTCGAGTTTAAGGTTTGCAGTAACCTGAGATCAGGCTCTATTTTACAAATAATAGCCTGACACAACCTTAATCCGATCACTTTCCACTCACAGCAAAGTTTATATTTAGTATCCAATCAAAATGTCACAGGAGAAATTTAAATTTCACACAACGACAACAACTTTCTAATTATAGTTGTGATCACTATAAATATATCAACGACAATAGTATAATGTATCAGTACCAACTAATCAAATGACAGATTAAAAAATCTTTTGTCTCATAGACCAATCAGATTTACAACCGAAATACGGTTGTAAAAACATGGACTTTTGTTAAGGTTTGTATCAGGCCTATTTATTTATTTATGGGCCTGATCGCAGGTTAGGTTTGCAGAGGACAACCTTTTTTTAATTAGATGTATCATGAAACTGTTGCCAAAGTTTAAAATAGCTAACATTATCTAACAATTTTAGTTTTAATAGAAATATATATGTACTGTTATATAGCATGAAATAGCAGGCTACATACTTTATGCTTGAGGGTTTGTACGATCAAATCACCTAAGAAATATACTGTAGAAAGAACTTTGATGGCACAAGCACCTCCTTAACTTGTTCCTGTTCAAGCAAAATTTCAAAGTTCTTGGTATATTTTTGTAAGTTTCTTGCATTTGCAGGCCACGAGGGTGATGAGGCATATACTAGACAGATTTAGATCGAGGACGCGGACGTCAAAGACGACGTGAAAATGGCGTGTTGTGCCCATGTATGGATATGCCACGTCATTTTGACGCCATTTTCACGTCGTCTTTGACGTCCGCGTCCTCGATCTAAATCTGTCTACTTTTTCAGGAATTACTTATAGTACTCAAACCTGAAACTGTTATTGTGTAGATTTGACACTTTTGGTCCTTTGCATATATATGGTGTTGAACGGTTTTCATTTGCATTTGGTAACTGTTCATGTAAAATTTGTTCAAGTATCATACACTGTATCAGTTTCTGGAGCTCACTATCGTGAAGCTTGCCTTTGCCATAATGACAAACATTGTGAAATCCTTTAGTTGTTATCACACTGGACTTCGAGCCACGGTAGGTTAAACCCAATAGATTAGTTGTGATCTTTTGTTGGATTGTTTGCATTTCCTCTAGGCAGTTAACTACCCTTTGGCAACTTCACTGCACTCAACAGGTTCTACATTCTTGTTCAATATGCAAACATCACAATGTTTGTTATAAATGCTACTGCTGCTCGCTTCATTATCAAAGTATGTAACTATTTGTTGTTTTAGACAAACAGGGGTTATGCAATATTTGACAATATTGTTTAATCCATCAAGAGCAACATGCTTGCGATCACTCTCTGGTAGACAACAGATATTCCGCAAATGTTTTGTTCTGTCTTCAAATCGGAACAAGATGTAACAATGTGCAGAATTTCCATCTCTTCCAGCTCTGCCAGACTCCTGCACATAACTCTCTAAGTCCTTTGGCATGCTATGATGAATAACAAATGTAACATTTGATTTATCAATTCCCATGCCAAATGCCACTGTTGCACAAATGACATGGGCCTCTCCAGATTTCCAACTGTCAACACTTGCCTGTTTTGAATGTATATCCATACCAGCATGGAAAAACACAGCATTTATACCAGCTCTTCTTAAATGGTACACAACATCAGCTGTGTCTTTTCGCTGATTGCAGTAAACAATACCACATTGGTCTGAAAATTTTTGTTTGATAAGGGAAACGATTGCATCAAAACAATTGGACTTCTTTTCCATTATGTGGTAGATCAAATTTTCACGGTTAGGTGTTTGTTTAATCACCATGGTTTTCTCTGACAGCTGTACAAGCTGTTTAATATGACACTCTGTGTGCGAGTTGTTGCTGTCCCTGTCATTGCCAAAATTGGAGATCCCAAGTGGCATAGTTTCCACACCTCTGCATAACTGGGTCTAAAGTGAAACCCCCAAGTGTCAATACAATGGGCTTCATCAATCACAACCAAACCTAACAAATTCCTGGATGAAAGATTTTGTAATAATGTTAACACAGCAGGTGTTAACACAGTTTCAGGTGTGACAAAAAAGAAGTTGTACTCTGGCGGATTACAGTCCAGTTTGTGGATTACAATTTCTCTTTCTTCTTCTTCCATATCAGTCATCAGGTAGCAAACATTCATACCTTTTCTTCTCAACCTTTCTGCTTGATCGAGCAATAATGCCAATAATGGAAATACAACGACAGCAACTTTGTTCTCCATTACAGCAGGAACAGCATAACACGCTGTCTTACCACAACCTGTTGGCATTATAAGCAAAGTGTAATGTCCATTTATGACACTTTCAATCGCTTCTTGCTGTTTTCCTCTGAACTTTTCATGCTTAAACACTTGTCTCAGAGTGTCCAGAATCTTGTTTCCTGTCAGCTAAAATTCAGTTTGTATATTATTACATATATGTGTTGACACTGAGCTTTCTTGACCTGCATATAATGATAGATCCTACAAAAATCAAAATAGATCTATAACTTAGGAATGAATGTAATAGACTAAATCAATGTTGCATTAAAAACATAGACAGATTAAGTGTAGAATTTGAGTATTGAGAAAGGTATGCACATAATGAGAAAGACATTTTGACTATTCGTGGCATACAGTAAAACTTGAATGATGTGGTTTCTTGCACTTCACTTGGTGGAATTATTATAATGTTAGGGTTTGTAATCCAAGTGATTATGTACATTTTAAGACCTTACCAGGAACGACTGCGAAAAATGCAGCACAAGCAGGGTGTTAGCTACAGTAAAAAATTCCGCGTTAAACGCCGTTTTCCCAATTACCTTGAGGTCGCAATTTCCCAATTTGGGTCAACCAAAAAATTGTTATATAAATTCAATGTTGTTAATACGCCATTAAAAACATGTTTATAACTACATTTGCTCAAAATTACTCCCAAAATGTGGGAAATGCCATTTCAAAGGCACAAAAATTTTAAAAATCGAGAGGGCAACCCCATGCCCCCAGACCCACAAAGAAATGCCCGGCTTCAGGCTAAAATAACTTTCCCAATTTCAGGTAAACGCGGATTTTTTTTTACTTCTGGCTAACACCCTGCACAAGGTCCTTTGGTAGGAATTGAACCTGTTTGTTTGTTTGACAAACAAACCCTAACATTCTAATAATACAGTAAAACTACATGTATTAAAAACATAGACACTGATCTTATCCTTTTAACGAAAATTGCCTCTGCCACCACTGTCGTAATGAGGTTTTCTCCAACATTTCGTTTGGAATACCATGTGTTAAACTTTACAAACACCCCTGGCTTGCTCACTTCCAGTATTTCTGGCTTCGCTCCTTCGCTATACGATCTCAGTTGACCATAATGCATTAATAACATCCCTACAAGCTTGGCACATTCTTGTGGACATTTCGCCACTAAATCAATGGCAAGGCAGGCTTCATACCGCGTTGATATGCTAAAGCGTTCGTAGTCGTTGCTCTAAAATAAATGAGAGATGGAAAATACTGTGAATATACACGTAGATTTGATTTCAAGAGTAGCAACCTGACGAAACATATGTAAATTTTTGCATATAGCTCATGAATTATTCATTTGCCAAACACAATGCTTGAAAGAACAATACATATTATTAAGTCACCTACCTGAAACTGGCGTTGTTTGGAAAGGATTTCCAAATGCTGTTTCGTTTCTTCTCCGTGAGAAAATCTAAATATACGGCGTGCATCTCGAAGTTGTTTCTCTTCGTCAAATACAATCCCACTATGTTTGGTTCTGAAATGTTGCGCGATTCCTTTCTCCTCGAAGAATACTTTCACAGAGTTACTTTTACACGATCTGTGAGGACATGGTAGTTTTCCGTCTAAATACGCACGATGAAATGGCCTATTTTGGAGATCATGATTTTCTTCAAAATCCGCCATTGTTTTAGTGGCCATCTTGAATCCAGGATCTGCCAGTCGTCTCCTTCGTTTCTCCCTTCCCGTCGTCCCTCGCGCGCCCACTCTCCACGCGTGATTTTTACTGCATTTGCGTGTGTCTCGCGATATCTCAAGTTAATCCTATGAGTTAATTCGGCTTTTAAGGCCTTTGAAGACGACTGGGGACGAGTCAGCCCCTTTCGCATTTGTTCTTTTATTTTTATAGTAGATACAGTTTTCTACTATTAGCCATTCCTGTAAATATGATTATATTGGGGTTATCTTCTAAAATACGATCTGTGGGTGGTCACTATATGAGACACACCTTCACTATGATGTTGCAATACCCACAGTATGTATGTAATATACATCTATAATTTTCAATCTTAGGGTGTATCGAATCCCTGATTCATTTCTGTTTCAGAATGGGTAACAAAAGAGCTTTCGCTCATCAACAATATTGTGCTGTTCAGCTAATGTGCCAATCAATTTATACTGTTAACATACCCCCCCCCCCAGGCATTTGAGACTTTGCTTTATCCCCAGAGTGAGAAATTTGACCTTTTGAACTGCTGTTAGGGTAGATAATTTGATGCTATGTCACAAAACATGGGGCATTTGACCATTTAATACACCAAATTGCATGAGGTCTGGCATAATTTGAATAGCATTTTTGTGCTGGGAGTGAGAAATTTGACCACAACATTTCAAAAAGTTCAAATGCCCAGGTGTATACCTGGAGGAATGGTAAAAGTATAAATTGATTGGCACATAAAATGACAAGGTTGTGGCAAGAATCGGGACTAGCTAACAGTCGTGGGTCGTGGGTAGAATGTCGTGGATAAAAAGTCGTGGGTCGTATGGCGTTCCGTTACGGACAATGTTATGAAAGTTGTAGATATAATATCCAAGCCAATATTAAAATGCCAAAACTTGCAATATAAATATGAAACGTTCCAAATAATATCAAGTCGTCAAACGTTATACCAAAGTCATGGACAATTTATATCAAAACATCTGTAACAAATATATAAACGCACGCATTAAATATTAAATCCGTAATCAAAATATCAAATTTTCACGCACACAAAAATATCAAATTTTTACGCACGCAAAAAATATCACATTTTTACGCACACAAAAAATATCAATTTTTTACGAACACAAAAAATATCAAATTTTTACGCACACAAAAAATATCAAATTCTTACGCACACAAAAAATATCAATTTTTTTCGAACACAAAAATATCAAATTTTTACGCACACAAAAAATATCAAATTTTCACACACACAAAAATATCAAATTTTCACGCACACAAAAAATATCAAACTTGTAGATAAAAAGCGGACGCGGACGGCAGAGGGCGGACGACGGAGCATTTTATAAACACATTACTACCGCAACCAATCATAATACCCTAAATTAAAGTATATCAGCCTTAGATCTGTAAAATGAATATTTTTTCACCCGCTCGAATGGCTTTAGCATTCAATTCGTATGTATGATAGGCTATTCGCCGTCTTTCTTGGGAAACGTTTGGAAACAGCATTGTAAGAGCGGGGGGGGGGTCATAAAAGCAAAAATAAAAATCGCGCGGGGGAAACAGATAGAAAAAATACGTGCACCAATAGGGAGAATTACAAGTTGAAGTAGAAAAATTCGTGCAAGGAATTATATAAATTTTTACTTATATATACCTAAGAGGCCCACATTTAACAATGACCTATATTTTTATGCGACGACTATTCTATATATGGATTTTATAAATCTTATTTATTAAGGCCGACCATTTGGTGCAGGGATCGATTTTCATTGGGCACGATAATTGTTTTAATTAACCTCCGAATGCTGCTCGATTTTTTCTGTCGTTCAGAGCCTTTGAACAATTGCTCGATATTTTTTCGGTACGTCTGCTCTTGTCCGATATTTTTTCTAAGTTGAATATTTTGGGGGACCCGATCGGCAAGAATATTACATTAATTAAAGTGACATTAATTAAATTAAGGCTATAGCTGGACAATATGTTTAAGAACTATTTATTGGTGTAATATAAATAATTGGTATACTCAGTGGCGCCGTGCCCGAGGGGAAGGGCAGGGGGCATGGGCCCCCTATTGTCGCGACCCGCCGGTAAATTGGAAATTTGTTATGTTGTCGGAATCTCCTTGGTCAAGCATACCTGCAGATACGAGCGGGAATTTCACTTCTCTTCGTTGTTTGATAATACGAAACATGATTTTTCTGTGTTGGTGTTGTGTACTCAGGTGAATATGATATTTGTGAATATTACTCTGAGTGTATATCCACACCGGGCGAGCTTGAAAAATATGCCCAGCCACGGTGGGATTCGAACCTACGACCCTTGGAATACTAGCCCAATGCTCTTCCAACTGAGCTACGCGGTCAGGACGGTTCGAGTAAGTGATATTTCGGAACAGAATCTAGTTCCTTCGATACCAATGTAATCTAGCTAGTAATATGATTTTTCTGTGTTGGTGTTGTGTACTCAGGTGAATATGATATTTGTGAGTGTTACTCTGAGTGTATATCCACACCGGGCGAGCTTGAAAAATATGCCTATCCCACCGTGGCTGGGCATATTTTTCAAGCTCGCCCGGTGCGGATATACACTCAGAGTATAACATTCGCAAATATAATACGAAACATGTTTGAATAAAAAATATATAGATGAAATATCGGAAATCGGACTCAGTTTACATACGAATTGAATGCTAAAGCCATTCGAGCGGGTGAAAACATATTCATTTTACAGTTCTAAGGCTGATATACTTTAATTTAGGGTATTATAATTGGTTGGGGTAGTAAAGAAATGCTCCGTCGTCCGCCCTCTGCCGTCGTGGTTCGCTTTTTATCTACAAGATTTGATATTTTTTGTGTCCGTAAGAATTTGATATTTTTTGTGTGCGTAAGAATTTGATATTTTTTGTGTGCGTAAGAATTTGATATTTTTTGTGTACGTAAAAATTTGATATTTTTTGTGTGCGTAAAAATTTGATATTTTTTGTGTGCGTAAAAATTTGATATTTTTTGTGTGCGTAAAAATTTGATATTTTTTGTGTGCGTAAAAATTTGATATTTTTTGTGTGCGTGAAATTTGATATTTTTTGTGTGCGTGAAATTTGATATTTTGATTACGGATTTTAATATTTAATGCGTGCGTCTATATATTTGCTACAGATGTTTTGATATAAATTGTCCATGACTTTGGTATAACGTTTGACGACTTGATATTATTTGGAACGTTTCATATTTATATTGCGAGTTTTGGCATTTTAATATTGGCTTTGATATTATATCTACAACTTTCATAATATTGTCCATAGACGACATAAAAAGGACAATCCAGAAATTGTTATCAGAGATTCACAAAATTGTCTTTGGGGTTAACTCGAGCCCTTTTCTGTTAAACGGAACAATCAGTCACCACATAAATTCCTACAAGGATATAGTTCCTGATTTCGTTGAAGAAGTGCTCAAATCGTTGTATGTCGATCATGTCGCATCATCAGTCTCAAGTGTATCCGAGGGTTATTCATTGTGTGAATGTATGATAAGTTGAAGAAAAGATTTAAAGATGGAGGTTTTAATATGCGCAAATGGCAAACGAACAGCGACGTATTGGGAAAGAAGATTGCCAGCATTGAAGGGTCTGATACGACCAAGACATGCGAGGATTGGGAAGAAGATCAGAGCTACTCGAAGACAGGTTTACCACAAGTGAATCCTGAGGAAGAGTTCCCAAAGGTTCTCGGCATAACCTGCAATACAAAGAGCGACAAGTTGGTATTCAGTTTTGACGGACTGACTATTTATCTGACAGAAGAATCAGTTACAAAACGAATTATGTTAAATTCATTCGCTAAGAACTTCATTAAGAACTTCGCTAAATTCATTCGCGACAAGAACATTACCTGGGATCATGTTCTCGAAGATGAGACAGCGAAATCATGGAAATCCGGGTTGACAAATATGAAAGAAACCTCGACGGTCGATTTGAATAGATGCTATAGCCCTCAGATTGATCGAAAGGAAATCAGATCAGTAGAATTACACGGATTCGGTGACGCTTCGGAGAAAGCGTACAGAGGAGTAGTGTATGTTCGTATCAGAACAGGAACGCTTGTTTCGTGTCAACTCGTTGCATCCAAGTCAAAAGTAGCTCCCATAAGCGGAGAAACAATTCCGAGACTAGAACTGTTATCTGGGCTGGTGCTTGCAAGATTTAAAATGTCACATATTCGACGTGAACTGGAAGGAAAATACAAGATTGATCGCGCTGTCTGTTGGTTGGATTCAGAGATTGCCCTGTGGTGGATTGGGACTGGAAAAGAGTGTAAACTGTTTATTCAAAATCGTGTTGTAGAATTTAGGAAGTTAATGGATTCGAAATCGTGGCGTCATGTGCCAACCGACCAGAATCCCGCGGATGTTCTTTCTCGTGGTTCACTTGGATCGGAATTGAAAGAAATGCGTAGTTGGTGGTGTGGTCCGGACTTCCTGCAAGGTGACGAATCTGGCTGGCGCCGAAGAATTTCAAGTTTCAAGGGGATAATTTCGTAGATCAATTACTCGAATTTGAAGAAGTACAATCTGTGTCTACAACCTTGGTTCAGGATGAGAAGTCAACTATTGGCGAGTTAATCGATTGTCAGAATTACAGCGATTATGAGAAACTCGTTCGTGTCACCTGCTACGTGGTTCGCTTCGTAAAAATTGTGCGGAAAATGAAAGAACACCGACCATCAACCTTGGAGCTAGACGAAATCGAATTGTCCGAAGCAGAAATTTTGTGGATAAAAGACGCCCAGAGATACTTTCCAGCAGAGCCTAATTTCAACTCTATGTGAGTTGAGAAATAATTAGATTAAATGGTCCTTCAAGCCGGATTGGAAAGTCGAAACTTTTATTACATTACGAGCGAAAATAGAGTTGAAATTCAAAGCGAGAAGTCCAGTATTTGTTCTGGCAACCGAAGACAGTTAAGTATATGATATTTTGGTGAATTTCAAGCATTTACAATGGCAGAAAACTTGGAGAGAGACAAGAGATCAAGAACAGCCCACAAAACACATGTACGGCGATTAAGGTTACAGGACACCATTTTTGGCGTTTTGCGGAAAATCGCTACTACGCGCTCAATATCAGTCCGATTTTCATCAAATTTTCACCAAATGTTCTCCATTACAAAATATGGTAATGTTGTAAAATTAACAAACACTAGAATAATGTAAGAATTATTGTGGAAAATCTTAAATCGCGGTACCTTTACGCTTTTGAGTTATGCTCCTGCTGGTTTTAAGTTATATTTATGAAAATATCATTTTTATACAGTAAAATAGTTGTTCTAAAAAATTGTGTTCGGAAATTTTTGTTTATTTCGTCATTCCGCTGATATGGCGATTTCTTTGACGACTGCAATATATTTCTGAATTGTTTGAGTGAATTGCTCTTTATTTTTAAAATATCCAAAATTAAAAAAAAGCCGAACACAATTTTGAAACTGACGTCTTTAGCTAGCTATGTCCTGTGAAAATTTGAGAAAAATTGGTTAAAATCCGCAGGAGCACAACTCGTTTGAAAATCAGTAAGTACCGTAAACTTTTTCGGGAGAAAATTGAATTTGAATATTACATTTTCAATATTTTTGACTCACGGATGTTGCGAAGCAACATCTGTGAGTCTTTGTGGTTTACTTGAGTGGGGGCAGTTAAACAATGGGAAATGACCAGCCTGCTTTGCGCGCAGTGTTTGCCTGCGAACGGGTCTTTTGGAACCGGAAATTGGGCTGGAGCACGCTTCACGTTCTTTTCAACTTTTGACTTTTTGACAAGCGTGTGCTAAATTAAAAGGTGAGTGTTAGTTGACTTAATTGTCATCTGTTTTTCTACTTCACCCAACAGATCTGCTGTTAACACACTGATCTACCTTTTAGCTGAAATATTAACACTATTTTGTTCAATATATATACAAGTGTTCACATTTTCTGGTGCCTTTCGAGCGCCTCTGTCAGCTGTGTTTGTTTGAACACTGTTTCCATAGTTTCTGTCGATTGAAAGAGTTTTTTGTTTACCAAATTTAATCATGTTATTTAAATTAAATAATTCATGTTTTAGCTGTCACGGAATACAAAGGACATATTTGTCTTATTCGAAGCAACACGACACAAAATCTTTGTATTAAAGTCACGTTGCCGACTTGCCGTTGTATATTTCACATGACTGCGCTTGCACTGTAGCCTAGTATCAGCTGGCACGGACGAGTTTCAGCAGTGTATCGATAGATCGCTTCATTTTTATCCTCTATCAGGAGAATTTCAGCTGTCCTTATGCTCTTTGATGAATGTCCCACTTATATTTAGACGCAATGAAACAACATCAAAACCACTAGTTAATCCAACGAAACTCTGTCGGATTACAGGGGATGGCAATTGTTTATTTAGAGCACTGTCATATATTTTAACCGGTAGACAAACATACCACATGATTTTAAGACAAAAAATAGTGGATCACATGAACAGTATAGAACATGTCCTTAGACCATATATGAATAGTTCAGTAGATCATTATTTAGCCACAAGCAACATGAGGAACAGTGGTGTGTGGGGGACTGATATTGAAATTTTTGCAGCCATTCCCTTTTCAATGTAGATATTTATGTTTATTCACAGTTTGGTAACAATTATAAATGGTCTAAAAAGAAAAAGAACATTGGACACTGAGGCAGCATTACCACCTGGATTTACTTACACTGTACTGCCATTGGACAGCTACCTGTACCGTTGTATCAATAAGGGTGCTGTTTTATAGTTGTTCTGTTTAAATTTTTCTGTTCAACACTGTACACTGTACATCGTACAGCTACGGTCGTTGATGCAGCATGTACTGTATTGGTTACAGCTTTATACTTATAGCTATCATGTTTAAATTGTTCTGTTCAACACTGTAGATCGGACAGCTACGGTCATTTGATATATTACATTGGGGACAGCTTTATACTTATTATAGTTATCATGTTTAAATTGTCAGTGTGTTTAACACTGTACATATTGGAAAGCCACAGTCATTGGATGTACTGATACTGACTGTATTAGGTACAGCTTTATACTTATAGTTATTCTGTTGAACACTATACACACCTGACAGCTACGGTTATTGTACTTTTATATAGATTTGCTTTGATAGTGTGTAGTTTTATAATAATCTATTCAGATTGTTTTTTCAAGACTGTTGATATTGGTTAGGGACCGGTCATTATTTATGGAAGGGGGAGGGGAATTTTTTCTTTTCTAAATTTTTAAAATTGAAAGCCCCCCCCCTAAATGGCAGAAATTTAATGATGGCCCCCCCTGCATATTAGAATATTTTTCTTTGACCCCCCCCCATTTTCATTTTTACTCGTCAAATGGGGATACCCAGGCGTTATAGTATTAATTATTAAATAAGAATATGGAACTGGCAAGATATTAACGTCGACCAAAAATATATATTTATTAGCAGAAAATTGTAATTAAAAGAGGAGTATTTTTATATATAACACTAAAATCAGGTTTCCATTTGGTCTGGGCGATCGTAACCATGTTTAAGGCTGCAACTAGACTTGATGGTACGAAGTATTGCCATAGCAGCTGCGCGGCAACAATGAGAGCAACAATCAGTAAAATTAGCAGCAAAAGGAGATAGCAATGACAATTCTGCCAAGGCATACCTGCGACAGTGTATAGTGGTCTATACATCCTATTTTATGTGAGATTAAAAATTATATAAAAATGACATATACTAGCTACCAGATAAAATCTTTTAGAATGAACATGGGTGGGTGGGTCGGGAAAAGGTATCGAAGCGCAAAACTTGCTGCAGCTAGGCAAAGCATACAATGGTAGAATGAATACCCAGACCGAAGCACTGATCACAAGGCATGAAACAACCCCCTTTGATCGATATGACGTCACAGATTCCTCGCAGCGGATGTGGCCTGCATAATACAAACGCCGTTAACCTTGCTTAATTTAAATGTATTTAACCACATCAAGAGCTGATGTAATAATACATTGTCAATTTAACTAGTCTGCAATCCGTAAAGACTGATTTGCATACAGCACACACAAGACAAGATGAATCCAGACTATTTCACATCCGTGACCATGATTTAGTTGCAACATTTACAACCAAATGGATACCAGGTTATTAAGCAAATTCCTTCAAGTTTAATTGCAACACCCCCTGTCATTTTCTTGAAAAAATTTAATAGCCCCCCTTCTAGTCATTTCTACATATGCCCCCCTTATTTTTTTCCTCCCCTCCCCCCTTCCATAATTAATGACCGGTCCCTTATTGTTAAAATCGAGGATGTCGTTAAAATTAAACTGTTTAAACCTGTAAGATCTTCGGGAACATTTTATATTATGTCGTGTTTTACCAAATAATGTCCTTGCCCTTGCACGGTTCCCATTTGTAAAAAACTGCTGTAAATCATATCCCCCTTTAATTAATTTGATCTCATCCGTGAGTCGGCCTCGAAGGCCGTTGATTCTACTGCTCCGTACTTCATGTGCCCCGTGCTCCGTGTGCTCCGTGCTCCGTGTGTCCGTGCTCCGTTCTCCGTATTTTACTAATAGCCCCCCAAGTCAATGTTAAATGGATTTTTTTATCAAATAAGAATAAAATAAGATGATGTATTGTGGATGTGCAACAATGAAGATGGGGAGTGACGGGATATGCGCATGAAATCAAGTTTGTTAGAATTTTTGCAAAAGTGGATTAAGTTGTCCACATGAATTTTGCCTTTTATTGTAATTTTGATTTAATACTTCTACCTTATTGTAACTAGATTATTTAAATCAAGAATTACAGACATATATTGCCAAACTTCATAAAGTGCGTTTGATGAGATCGAAGGAAAGACTTGGTCTAATACGAGCGAGAATGCTTGGAGCTTCCAATGCACATGGTGACGTTGTTATTGTTTTAGACTCGCACTGTGAAGTGAACCAGGGTTGGTTGCCTCCATTGTTAGCACCAATTTCAAGAGATGAGCACGTTGTTACTTGCCCTATCATAGACTTCATTGATCATGATACGTTTCAATATAAGCCAATGGGCTCCTTTATTCGCGGCACATTTAATTGGCGTTTTGATTACAAAGAGAGAGAACTAACTAAAGAACAAATGAAAAGAAGAAAGGACGCCACAGAAGAAGTCTGGTAAGTTCTTATTATATTGTAAAATAAAAAAGTTGAACATTTTAAACTCTCTTAAAGTGTTCTAGCTAAGCGCGGAGGAAGATCCGCGCGGATGAAGATCTGGGCTGACGGATCGAAAGCTTTGTAATAATAAATATGCGTGGTGTTTTCCACAAACCAATATATATTGTTTTATCTCCATGCGGTTGATGATCTTCTAACGTAAATGGAATTTATTTACTAATCACATTTTAATACTGCTGCAGGTTTTAAAAATATTCTCTTGCTGAATCGATCAATCAAAACTTTTTGTTTGACAAATCATAAGATTTGTGGTCACGATAAGCTGACCTATAAATAATTTGTTGATATCACGTAATTATGGCATCACACCAACAAATAATACGTCGTCAGGTCTGCAGAGAATAATCGCAATGCTAGGTTGTTTCTCCGTCTGCAACGTGCCACTGTAACTGAAAGTAATTTATAATAGTTTTCTTTGTGGAAACACCACGTAAATTTATTACTGCAAAGCTTTCCATCCGTAAGCCCGGATCTTCGTCAGTGCTAATAATTTGTGACTTGTTCAATCCACACGCCCTTTTATATACAAAAGTGTCGTAATATATAGATTTTGTATATAAAAAGGGCGTGTGAATTGAACAAGTCACATATTATTAGCACTGATGAAGATCCGGGCTTACGGATCGAAAGCTTTGCAGTAATAAATTTGCGTGGTGTTTCCACAAACAAAACTATTATATGTTTTATCGCCATGCAAACTTACAAAGAACTTGAAAGTAATTTACAAAAAATAGACAAAACTATGCTCAGACAGAATTACGCAGACAGAATTAAGTGTTTTCAACACAGGGAGCCCGTCTAACGTATGTCCTATTTAATGTACCAATTCAGTACATTAAGGCCGTTTTCCACTAGGCGGAATTTTGCACGCGGAGCGGAGTTCCTCTTTGTCTTTTCTAATTAGTTCCACCCGAGAAATCACAAGACAAAGAAAAATTCCTCTCCGCGCGGAAACTTCCGCCTAGTGGAAAACGGCCTTAATGTACTGAATTGGTACATTAAATAGGACATACGTTAGACGGGCTCCCTATTATATCAAAGCAGTCAGTATAGAAACATGTGTGATGAGTAATGTGCATACTGTTACTTCAAGGCAGTCAGTGCAGAAAACACACGAGGGAAAAAGCAAGGAGAATGGAAAAGGTTTAAATTGATTCAAAAAATATATGCAATTCTGATCTTGTTTTGGAACACCCTTTTATCACTTTCGTTCATGTGTAAACAAATACCGATACGTGTATTTGAAAAATAGGTAAATGTTTAACAATATTCCCGCTCACGTTTACATTCAATGTATTTCATATGTTGCTTGGATAGTATTTTATCCAAAATATGGAAATTGGAAATTTAGAAATTGTAACTATACTTGCCCAAATAACTTGATTTAGAATGGAAACGACTGTACATAATATACATAAAACTGTTGCTCAACTGTAATTGGTTGATTTCACTGTGGTTAATTTCGAACAGATTAAACATCTAATTCGACCAATCAGCTTAAAATTAAGCAGTTGTCAAGTAACGGCCACAGCCATTACTTGAAACAAAACAGACATGGCGGCTCCACCACATAAAGTAGAAGTTGAACGCAGGTGGAAATATGGCATTTATCTTTTTTTAAATTGGAAAAAGACTTAAAGCCCGTAGGCCGTTTGCTGCGTCCCGATATCGTTCACTTTCATTTCACCCATCTTGGAACTGAAATATTTTTACCGGAACTAACACTTTCGAACACGCTGAGTTCAAATCCGAAAAGTTCCCGCTCCGTAGACCTGCAGTTTTCTCACAAACTGCAATTTTATCTTCACTAATTTCAAGGCAACTTTTTTCATTGTTCAACGACACGGATCGATTACGACAAACGATTATGTCACTCAAAAAGACCAATTTCTATTAACCAGTCTACCTTTTAACAAAAAAAGACCGGTTTTGCTCGAATCATTTTGAGTTATGTTATATTATGCGTGTTGGACGTAAACAACATATCTTGTCTACAACTTTGGGAAGGTACAGATCTTTGATGTGAACATTTATTCTTCTGTAGTTTAAGATTATTTAAGAGTGACTTTATGCTTTCTGAAATCCTCAGCCTGGCTCTATCTCAATAAAATCACAAGGACGTTAATTTTGGCTATGTCTCTTGGCTGAGAAATAACTCTTTTAACGCGATCAAGTATTTAAAACAAAAGTAACGCGAAGCCAACGGAACGGCAAAGACAACACTAAAATGAAATATTGTCGATGGGTTTCTGGTAGAAGACTTACGACAAAGTCACTCTTAAATAATCTTAAACTACAGAAGAATAAATGTTCACATCAAAGACAAATATCAGTACCAAAGTATAAAATCTTCTCTATAAACCTACGACGAAGTGGAGAAATGTGTGCATGAGCTGTTTATTCGGTGATTACAACGTATATGAAACCCCTCTTTCCAATAATACTTGTTAGTCGCACAGAATAACACCAACTGATATAATAGTTCAAATGATAAATTACCTCTTGAATTACGTCTCAAAAACTGTGTTGGAAATTTAAATGCTGACCCATTACATAACATTACCGTTTTACATCGTTGTATAAAACATTTTGATTGCATGTAAGGAATTATTTCTCAGCCCAGAGACATAGCCAAAAGACTTAGCATTAACGTCCTTGTAATTTTATTGAGAGATTTCAGAAAGCTTTATCTGTACCTTCCCAAAGTCGTAGACAAGATATGTTGTTCACATCTAACACGCATAATATAACATAACTCAAAATGATTCGAGCAAAACCGGTCTTTTGTTAAAAGGAAGACTGGTTGATAGAAATTGGTCTTTTTGAGTGACATAATCGTTTGTCGTCATCGATCCGTGTTGGTTGAACAATGAAAAAAGTTGTGGTGAAATTAGTGAAGATAAAATTGCAGTTTGTGAGAAAACTGCAGGTCTACGGAGCGGGAACTTTTCGGATTTAAACTCAGCGTGTTCGAAAGTGTTAGTTCCCGTAAAAATATTTCAGTTCCGAGATAGGTGAAATGAAAATCTCTTTCTAGGCACTTTTCGAGGTCACAGCATACGGCCTACCGGTTCACATATGTCTTCGGTATGCCTGCGCTATCATTGTTTACAGCTGATGATGCATACCTATTTAGGCTGTTTGTTGCGTCCCGTTATCGTTCATTTTCACTAAAGGAACACTCCACTAAAATATATATTGAGGTGCAAACAAGAGATTGTACTTACGTTAGGTTAATTACTTGCGAAGTTTGAAAAGACAATTCTTTTTAGGTAAGGAGGAATTGCTCATCGAAGTTTGTAAAATCCCTTATTGAACGACGCCATGTTGTCTTTCTCAAGCAGACGCCTAAGCCCAGCCAAGGCCAGCGGTTTCACCAAAAAATGACGTCACTGAGTGCTTTCATCCTTTGCGCGAAACTTCAAAAACTTTCATTATACTGTTGTTGTGTTTACTGTTTAATTAATTGTGTTTAAATGACTGTTTAATCGACTGTAAAATTAACAAAAATGCCGCAGTGTATGGTTCGGAAATATGCGAACGGTTGGAGAAAGACTAAATGCTCAGACAGAACTTATCATAACTGCCAAGTGATCCACCTAAAAGCATTTGGTTGCGAAATATCAGGAGGGACAACCCGCGCAAGTTCAACAACTCATCTGTTGTTTAGATATTTTGCTAATGTCACAGTCGATTAAACACAATTAATTAAACAGACATTTAAACAGACACAGCCACAGTATAATGAAAGTTTTTTACCCTTTTGCGTGAAGGATAAAAGTACTCAGTGACGTCATTTTCTGGCGAAACCTTGGCTGGCCTTAGGCGTCTGCTTGAGAAAGACAACATGGCGTCGTTCAATAAAGCCTAGTTTCCATAAGGTCGTTAGCTGTCGTTACCTGTCTTTCGGGGTCCTTGAAGTAATCTTGAAAGACCGATAACTACTGAGTGAAACATAAAACGACAGTGTCGCTGGCAGTCTTTAGGCGGTCTTCACGGCGCGAAAAACAAAATGGCGGCGCTTAACAGGGAGTTTCTTCTTCAATTAAATTTGTTTATACTCCTTGCGATAAAGCGACAACAAGGAAAAAGGAAAAACACCGCTTCTGGGTCAGAGAAATTTTTCAGAAGCGAGAAGAGCTTGGTGCGTACCATAGACTAGTCCTAGAACTTCGTCTGCACGACAGAGAATACTTCTTTAGGTTCGTACTTTTATCTTTTACAATAATTTTCGATTTTCTAAGTTATTGTTTACGTAGTAAAAAAATCCATACTTATTTCGTATAAATTTCAGATTCTTACGTATGTCACCGGACCGTTTTGACCATCTGTTATCACTTGTTGGACCACTCATTGCGAAAAAGCACTGCAAATCACGTACACCAGTTTTCCTGCAATGACAACCATAATTTGAAAAGTAACAACTTAATGCTGAGGTTGGCTAAACCAAAAACTAATGCAATGAAAAAGTCGTTCAGTTATGCCGCCGCCAACATCTGGAACTCACAGAGTATTTCAGAAAGAAACAAAGTAATTAACTTGATTCAATGATTTAATATAGTGGGCTATGGCGTATTAAATGTATTAGACGTGTAATTATGTATATTGTCCTGTATTGTATTGATATTATTGTAATTTTAGCGTAATCACACGGCCTTTTGAAAAGCAGCATTTTATTTTTCTTAATTTATTATTGCATGTTTACTTATATAAATTATATGTACGTATATATTGCTGAAAAGTTACCGTGTATAAAGATTTTTAAATAATAATAATAATTTTTTTTAAATAATAATAAACCAATATCACCTTCCGAGCGTCTTGCAGTTACCGTACGCTATCTTGCCACGGGTGACTCCCAACAAAGTCACGCATTTTATTTCAGACTTGGGCGTTCTACTGTATCTAATATTGTGAAAGAAACTTGCAACGCTTTGTGGA